CAGATTAACTATTGCCCTCCCTATACCTACCCACACCTTACATACAAGTTGCCTTCTTTCAAGTTCAAGTACATGCCACTCAACGAACACAAACTACTAACTATATAATACATAACTTCTCGCTGTCAACCATTGTTTTTTCAACACAACAAGCGAAGTCACACACTGAGATCAAACCTAAGTGACACCCACCCACACCTCCCACCTCATTCCCCTTCCCTAACCATACTTTAATTGCTATGGTATTTTTCTGTTATTGTATTTTATCTAATGTTTATTATTGTTGTTTTCACACTGCAGTTCATTATATTTTACTTTCTCTTAGGACAAATAACTATGTATTGATATGTTCGATTTTCCCCGTTATGTTATTCATATTTACTGCTACGATTTTCGCTGTGATGTTATCGTTTTCACCTGCATACTGTACCCTATTAGTAAGTAACTCGTTACTACTTCCTCTATGAATGTGCGTATATCGTTCTGTCTTTCACAACACCTGTATTTACTTATACTCCCCACGCTAATCGTTCGCTTTTTCACACATAGGTTTAAGATACATGTCGATTACCTGCCTTAAGTCCAAACCCACCTACCTGCCCACCCTACACGGAATTCACTCTAGGATTATGAATTTTACTAAGTGCCATCCCCAAGCCTTTAAACTGAACCCAAACTGCTTTCATGACGCCCTCTCGAAGTTCGATATCTTATCCTCATCTATGCTAGAATTTATGCTTCTTTAGTTTAAGGAATTGGTGAATATGTAACTTGTATCTGACTGATGGTAGGTAGTCTATTGCAAATGATCATAACGATGATAATGCATTACAGGACACCATACTTCATATAGGCTTACATAATTATTATCACCGCAAGTTAATTTTAAGCCCGGCTCATGGCCGTAACGAAAGAATCCTGCGCCCGCCGCACCGAGATATTACTTACGCTCATACGATTGAAGCGCCCAGACGCGCACGCCCGGCTCATGGCCGTAAACGAATGAATCCTGCGCCCGCCGCACCGCGATGTTTTTTACTCTCATACGATTGAAGCGCCCCAGACGCGCACGCCCGGCTCATGGCCGTAAACGAAGGAATCCTGCGCCCGCCGCACACTTACGCTCATACGATTGAAGCGCCGAGACGCGCACTGTTAGAATTAAGTTCAGGCCCAGCTGCCTATATGTTCGAAGCATATATACTTGCCTATTTAGCCCAAAGATATGGAATTTTTGTCCAATTACTTTTTCTCTCTTCGGTATGATGGTACTCTACAGAACTCGCTAATCCTAACAAATCCATGTAATTAACACCCACTTACTTGACACATTACCCTTCTCGTAACAAATTATTCTTATTATGCCCTCATTTTTTTCTTGCAACTTAATAAGGTGATTGACAAACACATTATTATCCTCCTCCTTAGCCCTTTTACTGGCCTGGTACACTTATATTTCAGCTTCTGAAAATGATTGACCCTCCTCGCTACTGAATGTTGCACCTCAGTGCGAAACCTCCACCGCACCAGCTACCTTGGCACGCGACGACCCAAGCGACCATCGGATCACCAGGAACCATCTGTAGATACCGAACAGAACCTGTATCCCTATCTGCTACTGCAGTGTTCCAGCGTTGCAGATGGCTCGAGGACGAGCCTTTCGCGTGGCCGAGCGATGTGAACAATACGTAGCAAGACCGGATGGCAGATTCAAACCTCGGTCCAAGCAAATGCCTTTCTCCTTGCGCAGGATGCAGGTGCTGCCCTCCTTTCTCTTTTAACACAGGAATAAACATCCGCCCTCCAAGGAACCGCCGCATAAAAGGGCACGTGCCTAAGACACAGAGGGAGACACAGAGACACAGCAGACAGGTCAAGCCACAAGGGTTCAGCTCCACCACCTCGTCCTCCACCCGGGGACACGGGGGTCTCTTGGGGGTCTCATATCTATCTTCAGAAATAAACCAGCAAGTTAAGACCCCTTTCATTGACTGCCCTAAGACCATCTCTGTTACGCTTACATTCAGTGGCTTGCGTGGTCACTTACGCTTACATCTGATGACAGCGGTGGTCACGTACGCGTACATATATATATATATATATATATATATATATATATATATATATATATATATATATATATATATATATATATATATATAATATATATATAATATATATATAATATATATATAATATATATATAATATATATATAATATATATATAATATATATATAATATATATATAATATATATATAATATATATATAATATATATATAATATATAATATATAATATATAATATATAATATATAATATATAATATATATATTGATTATCATCCAGCATTATTATTTTTTATCTTTCTATTTCTCTAAACAATTAGAGGATAGCAGACTGCAATTTATCACTACTTCTTTCATAAAATTATCATAAAACATTTAGTACATCATGTTAACTAACCTTGAGAACAACTCCTTTGCCAAATGTCACATCG